TCTCTCGTAAATTTACTCGATTTCTTTCCTCTCTCTCTCTCTCTCTCTCTCTCTCTCTCTCTTTCTCTCTCTCTTTCTCTCTCTCTCTCTCGTGAATTCTTCTTCCTCGTTCCTCTACTCCTTGGAAGCTTGTTCTCAATCCCTCCATCGAGACCGCGATGATCTATCAGGGGATCATCAGGCACGATCGAGGCAAATCCATCTCGGAAACTGTACTCCAACTTTTCCCAGATGCCGATCACTGCTTCGTGTCCGTGAAGGGACGACAGCAGAGGAAGAGTGGTTAGATGAAGAGACTGCCCAGGAAGGTTCACACTGCCCGGCGGTCTGATCGCTGACGACTGAACGCCGTGGTAGCGTTTCGCCGCGTAGTAAGCCGGCTCTCACCCCGCCATCGGGCCTCTCTTTCTCTGCCTCTCCACGAGGAGCGAGCGAGAGGGACGAATGATCGAAAGAAACGAAGAAAGAAAGACAGCCGGAGCGACAGAGAGAGAGAGAGAGAGAGAGCGCGAGAGAGCGAGAGAGAGAGAGAGAGAGAGAGAGAGAGAGAGAGAGAGAGAGAGAGAAAGAGAAAGAGAAAGAGAGAGAAAGAGAGAGAGAGAGAGAGAGAAAGAGGGAAAGAGAGAGCGAGAACGAGAGATACACCCGTCCTTTTCGACCCACTCTGACGTTCTGCGCGTCCTGAGAGCAGCATGCCCCCGTCCTCGTACTCGCTCCGTTCTCTGCATTCATCCCCACCATTCGTCCCTCTACGCTCTACCCCCACCACCGCGCCGCGGTTCCCCCACCAACTGGCGCCTCGCCCCCACCAACTGGCGCCTCGCCCCCACCACCGAGAGGCGAAAGTTCCCGCGATCACCGCTGGGCGGCACCAGCGTCCAAACTCTCGAGCGGGACACTCGTTCGAGCGTGGCGGGCAACAAAGGTCCCGTCGGTTAGCGCCGTTACGTGGGAGAGAACGCGCTCCGCTGGTTGGTGGAAGGGGAGTGGTGACTTCCCCTCTCGCCGTGCCTCCGCTACGCTTCCCCTCCAGTCTTATCGCTCCTCCTCCACCCCCACCGGCGGCCCACGTGCTCCGTTACACTCGGCCTCGTGCGTACGCCGATCGCCGCGTCCTTGTCGCCGCTGTCCGCGTACCGGAGTTCCTGGTAGGGGTGGTGAAATATCGTCGGTGGAGGGAGGACGTGCGCGAGAAATACCGCGCGGTGGTGGGGGGCAGAAGGACTTGGCGATGTAGCCAGCACGCGTCACGCGCTCTCCACGCTGCGATTATATTATGCTGGTGACGCGAGGAAAAGCGGTGTGATATTTTTTTTTCCTTTTCTTTTTTCTTTTTTCTTTTTTTCCTTGAAGAAGAGATCGTATGTGTATAAACGATATATGTAATATCGGAAGATTGTTGTTAGACGTGTTGGATCGTTCGATTGTTCGGATTCTAGATTCTAAGAGAGATTTATTATAGTTGGGCTTTCGAAAGGAGCGTTCGTTCACTTTGCTAGTGGGAAAATTTCGATAAAATGAAGAACGCGGAGAGAACTGGATGAAGTGGAGTTTGGAATTGATGTGTTTGAAGATATCGAAACGTTGGTTCTCTCCTTATCGTGGCCGACTCGTGGGGTCAGTTTATCAAGGTTATCGTGGAAACTATCGTATATACCGCGTAGAGTGAAACTCGTTGATCTTTTTTGGAGAAACGTTTCTTATCGTTATTATATCACGCTATCGTTGAGGCCGCGTGTGTTTGTCACGGGGCTTATTTCGCAGCTAACAACGCGGTTATCACTTCTCGCTGCCAAGGTACACACGACCACTTTCAACTGTACGACGATAACGGCGCGTCGTTAGTTTCGCTCTGACGAGAAAGTAAACTGGCTTCGAAGGGAGTGGAAACATATTTACACACTCGTAATCGTTTCGTCGGGACGTCCCTGATCGGTGGTGCAATTCGTTCTATTCCCTTTAAAAGTCGTTGCCGCCTTGACTAAGTACGCCCTTTTCAGGGTGTGCGTGTTGCGTACGTGTCTCTCCGTCGTAAATTTAAGGGGACAGTGGAAGAGACGGGCCTAACCACGCGGTTACAAAACGAACGGAAATAGAAGCCCACGTCAAAGATACGTGATGGTGTACTCGATGAACATTCACAGCCGAACGTTCACCATCGAATCTAAACTTCAAAAGATCGCGAGTCGTTAGTCGACCATTACTCCCGTCACTCGGCCACGTGATTCCGGCTATATGCGTTCCAAATAAACCTAATCGCGCCGCTACCACTACCCCGTAAAAGTTCATTCTCCCTAAACGTATATCCTTCCACAGCACTTTGAAGGTACATGACAGATATAATTATACGAACCAAGCAACTTTTGAACGATCTTGAGCTCAATGAGCCATCCACCGCGTATGAACTCTTCCTCCTCTCTACACAGTCTCCCCGTTCTAGCTGACCACGATAATCACGTTCTCATCAAACTGCCTATATACCATATCAAACTTGCCAATTCCACTGATCACTCTAAACGTCACGTTGTTGTTGTTACTATTATTATTATTATTATTAGTATTAATATTAGTATTAATATTATTAATATTATATTCTAAACACACTTTTATTTATCGCGATAGAAAAAATTCATCCCTTTCGAATTCCGCGTCACGAATGAGGAATTCGAGTCGACGAATGGGAAAACAAGGATAAACCGACGCGGCAGTTTACTCGTCACGACAGAAGACAGTATCTCGAAAGAGGGTTGGCACGCGTTGAACTGGCTGTTGTCGAGCTCGATCGGTCTGCCCGGAGCAGGCGA